ACCCAGAAGCCCCCGCATTACACACAACACAGCACTGCCAACCATGGTGCGATGGAAAAGCCGTACGGATAACGAGAAATCCAGAACTGATGCCCATCGTGAGATCAGTGTCAGCGCATTTGAGATAGCCAATGAGAAAACAGGATAAAGACCGACTGTCGGCGTTTGAACACCGCTGTCTACGCAGCATTGCAGGAATCTGATGGGACAGCCGGACGAGCAATGCTGAGGTTAGACGTAGAGTTTTAGGTAATCGCGGTCGCCCGCTGGAGCAAATGGTCTACCTCCATAGATTACATTGGTTGGGTCATGTGTTACGCATGCCACCAGATAGGTTGCCACGTCGAGAGATGTCTGCCGTGGCAGGTAGTGAGTGGAAGCCAATCAAGGATGGTCAAGACCTGGTACGAAGCTTTGAAAACCCTAACCAGGTTACTGGGTCACATGGAGTTCCGTTAGGCTCCCTGGCTGAGGACCTCGGGATGATCGTACCCGATGGTTAGAGACACTGAGTGATATGGCTGAGTGCCGTAAACAGTGGCTTTCATGCATCTTCTCAATTTCTCAGCAACGTTGGTCCAATGAAATTCTAAATTCTCACTTTGATCCTATTTTCAACCTTTCCTGTGTTTCTCCCAGTGTTCATCCAAATGGGCAGCCAAAAGACAGCAACCAAAAGTGACGCACGGAAGTGCATGTTTAATGGTTGTTTAAACTGAACTGACGGTGTAATAGCGCCTGATCCACCGTGGCACAATATGAGAAGTGCAAACAGCTGAAACCAGGCATAAAAGGATGGAAAGATAGAAAAAGCTCTCAGTGAAGATAAACGCAGATTGCCACGTACGGCCTCAAACTCTGTTAGTCGTGCATCGGAGATGAAAGCGGTAAACGGTGCCGTGATAACATCCAACGAACACGCATACCGGTCCCTTGGGTGAAATACAAGAAAATGAGAGAACGCATATCTCTAGGAACCTTTAGAAAAGAAAAACTTTTATTGTGACCTGAAAGTCATGTAACTTGGGAAAAGGAAAATGAATTCAACTTCGATGGATTGGAGGCGCGGAACTACTACTGAAGTGATCTGTGGAAAGAAGAGAGGTAATCCAGTGGGCGGATTAACGATCGAAACTCCGTGATGGTGCCCTATAAAGCAACGGTCGTTATACTACGTGAGTTGCGATAATCTGACGCTTATACAAGTACGTCGGAGCGGCACTCCACGCCAGAAATGATATCAAATGATCATCCTCAAAAGAGTTTCTGGCATGTCAAAATGCTGTTTATTACTTCGCGGCATCAAAATAATGGTGTGGGCTGTGTGCAGCCTTGAGTTGAACCCAAGTGAGGACATTCGGGCTATGCTTAGCCGAAAAGTGTACCAACACTCCGGATTTTACCCCACAAAGCACGAATTAGAAGCACCCATGATAAGGGGCTGGAACAATATCGACACGGATATGATTCGAAATCTTATAACCGAGTATAAAGTAACTTCAATGGGAAAAATAAATAGAAGGTACAATACTTTTGTCGCGGTGAAAATTCCATTCCTTCGATGTATTTCGTTAAAACACAAGAAAAATTGTTGAAATTTGGTACTTGGGCTTTTTGTTGCTTTGTCGGTTTGATTGTCAAAAAACGGTGATGATCGTGCACGTGGGAGGGGAGATAATCCAAAGATCTAA